GCCACTTACCAAGGCAGAAAACGTGCTTCATTTGCACCTCGTAGGGGATCTAAGCGAGCCGGATTATGTTTCTAACTTGGTGTAGGAGCGCTTGCCTGCGGATGCGGGTTTCTCTACAAAACGGCATTGGGATGCCCCTGAAAACGAAATTTCTGTTTCTTCTTAGGGCTGTGTTGGTATGGGCCTCAAGCCTATGCAGGGAGTACCTCAGGCTGGTGGTGAGTTCGGATAGCTTCGCAATGGTCTCCTCGTGAGCGTCCATGCGCGCATCAAGTGCCCCCTTTTTTGGTGGCGAATGACCATGGGTAGACCTGTTGGTCCGCTGCCTGCTACCGGCTGCCTGCACGCTAATCCCTGCGGTTACCGAATTGGCAATGCGTACCTTGGAAATAGACTTTACCCCTCGGTCTAGAGGTGCCACTGACGTGGTTGATTGGTCACAACGCTCAGGCTTCCCACCAATATCCATTCTCCGTTATTAACTACTCCGAACTGGTTTCCCGCCCCAGGTATCAGAGTCCCTAGCTCTGGGTTACTTCTCTTCATCTTTTTACTCGGGATCATGTTACACGGTGTAGCTTGTGCTACCAGCTGCGACGCAGAGTCCCGTTTCGGTGGTTTATTCGCCCTGGAAAGTCCGATAGCACTGGTGCAGTTTGGACAAACTCATTCCAGTAACTTGTGAACAGCATAGTGTTCAGCTGCCTTGGACGATAGCTTAATGCACCGTTGGTGAAACCAATCCTGGCACAGATCACAACGTATGCCCTCAACCACCTTGAGAGAACACCCTATTCGGGCACATGGGTAGGGTGCAACAACCTGTCCGGCTCGTGTAGCCCGTTTCAAGAGGATTTCTCTGAGCCACCATGGCACTTGTCTAGAACGCTTCAAGACTATGTCCGGTAAAAAAGGGGTGTGTAAAGATGAAAACCCTACACAAAAGCGATAAAACCAAGGATAAGTAACTCTGTGCAGTACTCTCGGCAGTAAATGTTGTGGTCTAGTCGCTCACCTGGACGGGAATTCGTCATGTTGGTCCTGCTACCCGGGTTCCGCTCAGTTGTGGCTCCCAGATTCAGACTTCCGATCTCCAGTGCGGAAGGCTCGGTACAAATTGCGTTTCGGCTAATTGTCCAACAGGAAATTGGAGTCTCGAGTGTTTCCTCCACCTATTGTTGACCTAATTTTTCAGGTCAATGCTCAGTTCAGTTCAGTTCAGTACAGTTCAGGTCAAATCAGGTCAGGTTGCACAGAACTGATGGTGGCCACAGGCCAATCAAGCTTCCAGAATTCCTTTGGTTGTGTGCTTACGAGTGTGCGTCCACCCCTGCGATTGATCGGTTTCTCTCTCTACCTGCAAACAGAGAGAAAGAGAGGCTTTACCTCTCGCCGTGTCGGCGAGAGACTGTAACTGTGAAAGCGTCCAATGTTACACAAAAACAATTATTGCACCTAACACCTGATGTCAGGTAAAACTTCCAACCATCTGGCGTCCAGTGCTCTTTTGAAGGCCTGAAGGTTTGGCTGCCTAATCATTTTAGACGGTAGCTGATTCCCGTTATCCACTATCCTATTGCTAAAGAAATGCGCTCATAGGTTCAGCCTAGAACACTGTTTCATAAGTTTGAGCTCATGACCACGTTTTTTTTGGTGGGGGTCCTTAGTGAAGAGGGACCCCGGATCTAAACCCAGCAAGTTCTTTTTAATCTTAAATTCTTCAATGAGGTCTCGGCGCAATCTCCACTTTTCTAGTGAAAAAAGACCGAGCGCGTACAATCTCTCTTTGTATACTTTTCCTCGCATACCCTCAAGCATCCGCGTTGCTAATCACTGGAACTTCACCAGACAGGCTGCATCCTTTTTGTAAATAGTGACCAAGCCTGAACAAAGTATTCTAGGTAAGGCCTTAAGATAGCTTTCTATATGGGTATAAATACGTCTGCTTTCCTCTACGAAACACCTGACCTTAGTCGAAACAGTTGTCGTCTAGCCATATGTGCTGCAGCTTCACTTTGGGTACTCCAAATGTAATCTGCAGTTACGATGACTCCTAGATCCCTGGCGTTGGTTAGAAAGCCCACTTCGAATTTCCTCCAGTCACCGAGAGCCTTCAATGGTCCCTTTGTTCTAGAGAGCAACTGACTCTGTTGCATCTACTGGCATATCCCATGTGTGGGACCGATTAGCCACCTTTGCAGTAACCTCTTCTGGGTCTGATCTTCCATCATATCCAACCACCTTTACATCATCAGCGAAAATGGAGCAAGGTGAGCTGGTAATTTCTGCTAGATCATTTATGGCCAAAAGAAACAGAAGCGGACCTAACACCGACACTGGTGGCACGCCACTAGTGACATAAGGGACTTGGGACGTTTGTTCCCTTACCTTAACCCAGAATTTCCTATTCGACAAGAATGCTGCAATCCATTTAAATACTGTTTCTGGGCGAATATGGCTCTTCCCGATCGAGCGTTCAGTTCGTTGTGTTGTCGGTGGGTAGGAGTAGCTTCTGATGCTGTGTACAATTGTTTAGGTATTTGTGATCCTCTCACTTTAGTCCGTTTACAGAAAGTTGACTCCTTGGGGGTATACTGAAAAAGAGGAAAACAAACAGGGATATCTCTTCGCCTCGTTGGTTATAGACCTCAAGTAAACATGCATTCGTATACACATGTGACAGGACAGTCAGTTTTAGAATAATTCCAACATTCAAACTCGAGTTTACACCATTCAAAAAATTCAGGCTAAAGTAGAATTTATTTTCGTTTTCCCACTTTAAATACTAACTTCAGGGGAACGTTGCTGACCGACATGCCACCTGGAAGGCATCAGTATTGGCCACTCTACGGGGAAACTGTTCCACTGTAGGTACGATCCTGTGTGCGAAGAAGTTGGCCGATACTTCCAACCTGGCGTGGTTCTGCTCATGTTAATAATCAGGAACTCTCGTGTTTTGAGCATGAGAAATCGTAAACAAGTCATCAAGGTTGAGTCCCGATAGATCTCTTACAATTTTAAAAATCTGTATCAGATCTCCCCTCACTCGTCTATGCTTCAGCGAAAAGAGATTAAGAGCTCTCAACCGCTGCTTATAGCCTTTCCCCTTTTGCCCAGTTACCATTCGGGAATAAAGGCGTTGCGCTCTTTCTAAATATGTTACATCCCTCCTGTCATATGGTGCTCATGCTTGCACACAATACTCCATGTGTGGGCAAACAATCGATTTATACAGTGGCACGGAAACATCAGGCCGTCTACATGTCAGTGTGGCAGGCAGCCTGAACAGCTGCCCCCCAGCCTGATTAGCAGATTTGGAGCACTGAGTTGAGTGTTTAAAATCTTGGGTAATCAGAACCCCCGGAACCTTCATCTGCGGGACCTGATGCATCAGAGCTTCATTCAACGTGTATACCCCAGCACGCGTTGCTAAGAGCCGACACTTGCTTAGATTCAAAGGTAGGTCCTATTTGACCGAACATAGATGGACAAAACCTAGGTTCCTTGAAAGTTTAATCCTGTCATTTTCATATTATCAGCAAACATGAAACAAGAATTTTGAAGATCCTGTGCCAGATCTTTGATGAATATGAGAAAAAGTAAGCGGCCTAGCACTGAGCCCTGGAGAACCCCACTTGTAACCATCTCGTGGTTAAAAACTCAGTCACCCACATTGACCCGGAAGATGCGATTACTCAAAAAGGCTTCAATCCCGTACCTAGCTCAACCTGTTACGCACAGACTCCGAACTTTGAATCGATGGCTGCCGGAGTCAAATGATTTACATATGTCTACGTAGAAGACTGCTACATTTTTCTCCTCACCCATGCGTTGAGTGACTACATCTTGAACACAACAAGATTCGTGATTTCCGTTGCACAAAGCTATGTTGTGTCGGTGTCAAGATGTGGTTATAGAGTCCTACATGATGACACCTACTCTGGAGCGGCGCGTTACAGTTTCTGGATATTGGCGATCAGTCAAATTTGAAAGATGACGTCAATGACACGGGCATGGCTTCTAACTACACGTCATTGGTGTATCGTGCTAGCCAATCTGAGGCAGTGCAGACAGAAGCAGAATTATGCGGGCAGTATTGCAATCTGATTGGTGGAAGCCTAAATAACCAATAATCGTCTTTCGTACATATTATTTACTCGCCTTCATTTCTTCTGATGAACCAACTGAATACTACTATTCCTGTGGTCTTTTCCTGGCATCTTGTTCACCTGGGATATTGCGGGCTCGTGCCATTGCAGTCCAGTGCTTCCGTAATCCAGTCCATGAAAGCTGATCCTTGATTCGTGTCCGGTGATTTCTATTGCGTGGTTCACATTCCGACGTTCGTGCAATCTGCTACTACTATTACTACTATAATCAATACACAAGATTTAATGCTTTTCAGTGCAGGCAAATCTGCCTTCTGATCAGTCGTTTCAAGCAATTACGCAGCACGGACCTTAAGCTAACGGGCCTTCTTTGTGTTTCTATCCAGCCTTGTGCAATGCTACCACGATCATGTAAGCCAGTTATCGAGTAGTGTAGCAGTTTGCATCGATTCCCTTAAAGGTACAGTCAGTGGCCCGGCTAGCACCCCGGCCAGCGGCTGCACTGTGGCTGGATGGATTCCATCTGGACCTGCTGACTTNTTCCGAACTTCCTGCATACAACAACAACTACCACAATCATCACAAATCGACGTGGCGTGATGAAGCTTTCAACTGAGTTTTCAACTGCAACCAAACCTGCAGGCAAGCCTATTTGAGATTAAGGAATGGGTCGACCGATTCGAGCTGTAGTGCAGTATTCGCAAAGGTGGTGCACAGAATAAATCAGCCTTATTTCTTACTGCTGGCCACCGTGACCTGTACTCCCTGTTGAGAAACTTAGCATTCCCTGAGGCTCCGGCAAAACTACCATACGAGTCCCTGAAGTCGTTGCTTCTCAATCACCTGCTGCCCATTGAGCTCCAAGCACACGAAAATACCAAATTCAACTCCATGATTCGTGCCAATCATGTTTCTCGCCGTGGCTTCATCCTGCAACTGAACAATCAGGCATTACGCTGCAACTACGGTGATCACCTGAAAGAACAACTATGTGACCGTTTGGTGGCAGGCACTAATAATCTGACTCTCGAACGCAAGTTACTGGAGAAGGATTTAACGTTTGCTGAGGCCCGCAAAATCTGTGAGCAACACGATGACCGGATGAGAGCTACCTCCAGCGAAGCAGTCACGTTATTTCAACGACCAAACCGACCTCCAATTGTCAAGTGTACACCGAAGCTGCAGGAAGACCCTTCTGGCAAGACGAAACGCATCAATCCGTATTGGTCATGTCGAGCTTACCATCTGCGCTCCAGTTGCCGCTCCCAAAATGCCAAGTTTCATGCATGCGGAAAAACTGACCACATTCAGAGAGTGTGTAAACAGCCCCGTTGCAATCTTGCACAGCCAACTGCTGCAAATGACACAAACCTTGTGCTCTCTCTACGATCCAAAAGCCAATGCACCTAATTCCTATACAGAGATGTGACACTTCAGTCTGGCAACACGCACAAATTCATTGTTGACACGGGAAGCCCGGAATCTATCAATTCTATTGCAGTGCTTCGGTCAATCTGTCCTTAAACCGAAATCCGTTCGACATCTATGCGAATCCTCGGTGTGAATGGATGCAAATTGCCACTGATTGGTGAGGTTTCGTTGATGGTACACTCCGCAGGACATTGCCTTGTTCCCATTCACTTCCTAATTGCCAGAAACAGTCCATCCATACTTGGCTTAACCGCCATTCGTGCATTAAACCATTCTGTGTCACTCCATACAAGCTCTATGTCCAATGTGCACACCTGTCTACAGCGCCTGATCGTGAAATGTTCCAACAAAACAGGAGGCATGAACGTGCAGCCGGTCATATTAGAAGTTGACGATGAGCCTATCTTCCTGAAACGACGCGTAATCCCCTACGGCCAACGTGAAGGAGTGCTGCAGGCCCTTGAGAAAACGGAGCGCGACGGCGTAATTACCCGAGTCACATCCAGTACGTGGACAGCTCCAATCGTGATCGTGATCAAAAGTGACAGTAAAACACCGCGGATTCGTGGCGATTACCGGTTCACGCTCAACCTGCGTTTGCGAAAGTGTGCGGCTACCACCATGAAGATGGGGGATTTTATGAAGGCATTGCATGGCAACACATGTTTATCAAAGATCGACTTGGCTGATGCGTACCTCCACATTCCTCTCGCTTCATCCTGCCGGCAATTTACCGCCATCAACACACTGTGGGGACTACATCAATACAACTTCCTACCGTTTGGACTCCAAACATCTTCAGAAATATTCCAGATTGTTGTTGACGAAGTGATTTGCGGACTCAATGGAGTGTTAGTGTACCAGGACGACATCATTGTGTTTGGTACAACGAAGGCTGAGCATGAAGATAGGCTCCTCAAAATACTGGAGCGTTTAGCCCAGAAGAATGTGTCAATTCGAGCTTTTAAATGCATGTTTAGTTTACCGGAATTGGAATGCTTGGGCTTAACAGTGAATGCAAAAGGCTACCGTCCTGATCCGAGTAGTTTCCGCTCATTGACTGAACTTGAATCACCGAGAGACCAAAACCAAGTTAGATACATTATGGCATATCTCCAATACTATTCACGTTTCGTGCCGAACTTTGCCACGAAACCTCAACTGCCGTTCGTTGCTCAGTCGACTACAGAATGGAAATGGACTGCCGAGTGGGAACAAATTCTGCTTGAAATTATTCAGATCATAGCTGACCGACCAGTACTCGCCTCGTTCTCTCCGACGAAACATCCAACTTTGATCACCGACGCATCAGATGTTGGCACTGTTACTGTACCCGGAATGGACGGACGTCCGCTTGTCTGCATCTCTCGTCTTTTAAACACGGTAGGACGAGGATATTCGCAGACACAGAAAGAAGCATTGGCTGCATATTGGGCTGTCCAACGCCTGCACAAATACCTGTTTGGATTACGTTTCACCACCGTAACCGATCATCAAGCTTTGCAATAACTGTTCAGTCCAAAAAAGTCGACACCGGCGATGATTCAGCAATGGGGCATTGCATTGGCTGCCTACAACTACGACATAGTGCACCGTTCGGGCAAAACAATTCCTCAAGCCGATTTTCTCTCGCGGTGGTCCGAATTCTCGTCGGCTTATAGGTGTCGTTTCATTGCTACTGCTGCCCTGGTATCACAAGAGGAGTTGCGCTGATTTACCAAAAGATACTGTACAGAAATCATAAAGGCTCTATTAAAAGGATGGCGTCCCGACCTGAAGCGGAAGTTCGCAGCATTCTATGCAAATCGTGGAGGAATCAGTGTCCAACCTGACGGAATACTATGCTGCAACGATGGACTGATTATCCCACCTCCGCTACGCAAGGCAGTGCTAGAAGACCTGCAAAGGGCCACTTAAGTGTGAAGAAAATAAAGTCGTTGGCACAGCAGATATGCTGGTGGCCCGGTCTAGATAAAGACATTGGCTGAACCGCTGAGAAGTGAGAAGCATGCCTACAAAAGCACAGGTTGTAACGGCAATCTAAACAACTGTCAATACGAAGCGCAATGTATCGATCTCGACTGACCAAATTTTCAACAAGAGGAAAACAGTTGAACGACAGTTAAAATTTCGTTTCTACCATAGGCATACATCAATACACATCGGCGACTTACGAAACCGTCGTAGTTTCCAGTTACAGAACGACAAACAACTGAGAAAATCACGGAACGAGACGGCAAAGATACCGAGCGGGTAATGAGGAGGCCGATTAAAACAACCGTCAAATGTTGAGTTCATGAAAGAGAAAGAAGAGATAAGAAAAGGAAGATAATGGAGTTAGAAAAGTATGGTGTATAAAAGCTTTCGAAAACCGTCACACCGCGCACCAGTCGCGCAGCAATTTCTGGTTGTCTTCTGCATAATTTTAAAACGGAATGTTCCCAATTGACATTTGAATATCTGCTTTTGAGTACCGCCTTGCGTCATTTTTGTGTAGACGCCCATTGGATAGTTGCTATTACCTTATTGTTCAAACGCCAGTCACATCTAGGTTACATGGTTAAACCATAAAGTTCGACGATGGTACCGGAGACCGGAGGACAATTCGTCGGTTGGAGTAAGAATCCACCAAAGTCGGTCAAATGCCTCGACTGGCTGGGATGTAGAGGAATCGGGGCACTATCGGTCGTTAGACGTGGACGATTTCAATCAGAAAATTATCCTAATATGAAATCGATGAAGCATATCTATCGATGGAGCTGGGTTTTGGTGAACACGGGGTTTTCCTTTTCTTTGGCCTTTTTCTGTAGAAAGCTAGTCACGGCGCTGGTGACCACAACATGCAGTCGTTGATAGTAATCCGTGGAAATTACAACTGTGATGTTGATTGTAGCTAAGTACCCTTTGGATATCGATAATGCACGATGTTCTCCGTCTCCTTTCGAGACTGATACTGCAATCAACCTGGTCATGCATTCATTTTTACCGGGATTGGTGGCGACCTAAGACATCAACCTGTGCAGCTAGCTTTTTTCCCGGTGGTGTAGCTCCCAAGCAGTGACGGTAAGAGTGATAGCAAGTTTAAGATGAAGCATAAAACATGACACAAGAATAAATGTTTATTGACTGTGATTCGTAAGCAAAAATCTGACTAACAAATGAAAATGAGATTGCTCCAGGGTTTGGGTTTAGTTATTGCTTCATGGTAATTCAATCTGAACGACCGGAAAACTTTTCGACTCTGTGACGCTTCATATGCGGGTTTCTCAAGCCGGTATTGTGTATGACATCAGGAATATTTGTGAGTCCGTCAATCAAGTTGGAATAACTTGAGGGCTAATAAACCCGAATATTCATTAACCGAGTATGGAGCCCAAGTGCTGCGTGTCGATTAGGTTGCCAATGAACCCAATTGTTCATTAGCCGAATATGCTCAATTGTGGCCCGTTTCGCTCCGACATATTCATTTCCAAATTAATAACTGCTGATTGCGCTCAACAAATTCGCTGTTTCTTGTTAAAGTGTCAAAGCATCATAATTTTACTCAAATGTTTTAGGCAAATTGAACAGCCGAACATTCTGGATTGTGTTTTGTCGATTTTCAAGTGTGATGTTACAGGGAATGTTGGTTTTGAAGTAGTCACTGCTGGAATACTGTGCGCAAACTTGGATCCATACTATCGCAAATATATGAAGTGCCACAGAAGGTACAACGACTGGCAACCAGAATGGTGACAGAACAGATAGGAAAGAGCTACTCGCAGCGTCTGAAGGACCTGAATCGTTTCTCGCTGTCACGTCGAAGGCCCAGAGGTGACTTGATAGAAGCCTTCAAGATAGTTAAGGGGTTATCGGGCATAGAACTAAGCAGCCTCTNCTGTCACGCCGAAGGACCAGGGGCGATTTGATAGAAGCCTTCAAGATAGTAAGGGGTTATCGGGCATAGAACTAAGCAGCCTCTTTGTTCCTGCACCAGAGTGCGGCACTAGAGATCATAGTCTTAAGCTGCGAAGGAGCACTCCAGATTGGAGTTGAGGGCCAGGTTCTTCACAAACCGAGTGGCGCATTTGTGGAATAGATTGCCGGAAAATGTCATACGTGGCTCAAAAGTTGTGGCCTTCAAAAAGGTTTTGGATCTGTGTTGGGATGTGGTTTTCCCGGAGCTGGCCACTTGAGGGACGATGAAGGATAAAGGTGAGTCGTTCCTATATTGATGTATTTCTACTTTACGTATCTGGTAGATGAG